CTTATTCTTTAATTACTCTTCATTTTTCCTAAATTATGCATTATGCAATCCACGTGTTGTATGTATGTAACCATTTCTGCCCTTTAATTGTGTGCATTAATTTTCTTCGTCAATTATCACCCCTTGCCTGCTTGACATGTTGACACTGACTGACTAATTATTGTTAACAAACAAACAAACATCTGAGTGCCAGCCACTTGATTGATTGGTAAATTGTTGTTGTGTATTGTAATAAAAATGCTGTATTACGTGTATATTAGAGTTAAGTAGAGCCAGAGTGAGATGAGATGACGGGGGATCTAATTGAAAAGTAAAACTTTCTTCGTTCGCTCGCTCAATCTTTCTCTTTTCTCAATGTCTAAATGGGGATATTTTCTATATTTTCACCAATTGTATCCCATTTTTATTATTATTTCTCATGGGTTTGGAGTGGAGCGCACAGCACTACACCCGTCCATTTCAACCTGTTCTCTGTTGTCTTCTTCATCGTCTTCTAGTTCTTCTTTAGCTGGTTCCATAATTGCCTCCTCCATTGTCACGTGGTCTTCCCCATTGGCATACTCGAGAACCTGGTGTGCAATGTCAGTCAGTCAGTCAACGATCTCCTCCTCATCATGTATCTTCTTCTTCTCTTTACTTGGGCTATCTCCTACGGGAGGATGAGCCGGCTTCATGAACATCTCGAATCATCGCTGCCCAGGCGCGGCGATCTGATGCAAGGTTTTGCGACAGGGTTATCGAATTCTTGTTCCACACACGGAGTCCGTAGACGGTATGTAGCCCCAGCCCAGTCACTCCATATCAGCCTTGACTGACTGTACCAAGCCATGTGTTTTCAGCTGTCCACCCCCCTGCGACATCGCCAAGATGGTAATGGCGAGGAGGGATTTAGAAATGATTTCATTGACCAGATAGTCATCTGGTCGGCGCAGAATATGGTCAAACCACCGAAGGCGGCGTTGTTGGACCAGTACTGTATCCGATTTATCTCTATTGCCTTCAGAAAATATTTGAATGGTTCGTTCTAAAACAGTTGTTTTTTCTCTTTTGGGTACTTAAAACGTTTGGGGTATCGGTAGTACAGAGTTAGAGTGCTCGCCAACCATGTAGGTAGTCGATCCTTGGCCGACGACGCACTCCCTTACCTCACTAAGCCAGTAGTAAGACTTGTAAAGAAGAAGAAGAAGGGAGGGGGGAGGGGTTGGGCATGAGGCTAGCAACCCCATCCCTGGGAAATAATCCTCACTGCTACACAGAAACTTCAAGCCTCTAGCAGCTGGAAGCCCTATTTCTACTGGGAATGTGAAGGGATAAAAAAGAACCGTTAAGGCCTTCTATTGACAAGAGTGAGACGGCTCTTTAAAGAGGTGTTTTACATCCCTCCTGGCTCACATATATTGAAGAAGGGTGATTGACTAACTGACTGACTGACTGACTTAACATTGATGTTGAAAAGTCTGAATTTTGTTCTTTGTGCTACACAGAGTACAGATTTCCAAAAATAAACTGATTAGAGATTTAAAATCTTTAAATATTTCCATTATTAATAATATTAGAAAAATTTAAAACAATTAGTCCCTTTTATAAATTTTGATAGCGTTATTAGAAGACGGAGACTATCTGAAAAATGTGATGTGGTGTATTAGCGCTATACATTTCGACGAACAATCTGATCCCTCACACATTTACTTGTCAAGTCAATATATATAGAAAGGAATTAAGAATAATTAACACAAACGTTTGGTAATCCAATCAAATAAGGATTACCAAGGTAGGTAGGTTAAGAGTAATAATGAACTGTTTTTGAATACACAAGAGGGGCTTAAGTCTGTGAATAGCTATAGCCTCAGTGTATTTCAGTAAACGCCCTTGACCGTTTTTATAGATGACCTTAAAGGCTGAGTTAACATCAATCTTATGGTTCATCTCGATTAGATGTTTAGCTATAGACGAAGTTGGTAGTCTGACACCTGATGCATCTATTGGCTTGTCACAATTCATCTGTTTTTCTAACCATTTTGGGATATGCTCGCTGTCCCACCCTCACGTGCAAAGCGCGATTACTCCTCCCTATGTAGGTATGTCCACACACACACACACACGAAAATTGGTAAATTGTGTCGGATGTGACATAATCACTTGTGAGGTTTGCAGTGAAGCATATTTTTAGCTTTTTCAAGAATTACAAGCTGGGCTGCATAGTAGGTTCTACGGATGATTGAATTCAACCCTTGTCTCACAATCCTACTGTTTATTTCCCCGTTATATGGTGATTGGATAAAAACATTTTTCTTGGGGGCGGTATAAATTGTAGGTTTAGAGGCTTCTGTCCATTACAGTATACGAGGGGCTTGGTGAAGTGTCTATTCAAGAGGATTCAGCGTATTTGCACGGCTGATGATATGGACAAAGAAAACGAAATATTAATGGATACTCTTGTTGAAAACGGATATCCTTTGAAATTTTTAAACAGGTGTAGAAGTTAACTATCCTCTAAACCTACAATTTATACCGTCCCTAAGAAAAATGTTTTTATCAAATTACCATATAACGGGGAAATAAACAGTAGGATTGTGAGACAAAGGTTGAACTCAATCATCCGTTCCATGTCTGTCACCTGCTTTCATCTCCTCTTCGCATCACCTCCTGTTCCTCGCCTCCATGTCACCCTCGCACTGACTGACGACCAACTAATTATTAGCCACATCTCTCACATTCTGGTTCTACTCGACAGCCTGGCGTGTGATGTCACTACTCACTTGATGGTTTCTTGTCTCAGAGTATAGCAACAATCCAACCCACTTCCATTTTTTCCTGCAGATTTGTTGTATAATTGGCTCCTGGTTGATTCATTTCCAGAGATCCCTGCCTGTTGCTGATCTTTTCTGGCCGGCCGGCCATCTGATCTTGAGCGATCGAAGTATGGAACGAAGACAACTGTTGATGAAGGTATATAATTTGTTCGAAGTCGTCTTCTTGACGTGGTGCAGAGCGGAGCGGAGCCAAATCTCTGATCCGTGCAGTAAGTAGCACTGACTTCACTTTGGAGTTGAAAATCCTGATCTTATTTCTCATGCTGAGTGCTGTTCATTTACACACAGACTTGATAAAAGTAATGAAAGCTTGTCTTGCTTTCCGATCCTCGCTTTGATGATATCCTCACCAGTTCCATCTTTGCCTTCAGTTGAAACAGTGCTTCCCAATTGGGTAGGTAGGTAGGTAGGTAAAGGAGGTTGCTTCTTATAGATTTTCTCTCATTTATGCTGGCTGCTTGTTGTCTGGTGTTGTTGCTGTGGCTGTTATTGTTGGCACGGCAGGAATCTTCATCAAAACCTCAGTTTTCTTTGTTTTCACCTGAAGACCTGCCTTTTCTGGATGCTTCTTCTGCCAACTCGTTGTTGTTTTTTTCACTTGAATATCTTCCAGCAGTTTGTGAGAAATCAGACATATGTCATCATCGGTGAAATGCCGATCCAGATCCTCCTCCAAGTTGTTTTTGTGTGGGTTCAATTTTTAATGCCTGTTTCCTCGCTGCCCACTGTGTGTCTCTCACATTATCCAGTAAGTCTATCATAATCAGGAAAATCACTGGAAATAATAGATAAAATAAGAGATATGTAGATCAGTGATGAAACAAAACAATCTCTAAGGATGTCACCTCCCTGTGTTGTTCACCAATTTATCCTATTATAAGAGATCATCGACTTCATCAATGAAAATCTCTTATAGAAATGATATACACGTAGGTAGGTAGACCATCTCAACACACTATGAGAACTGCTACTTTGTTGTACGGTGGTGAATGTGCAGTTTACATTTAACAAGAATCATCTGTAATCACACTCCACCTGAGCCAACATAAGGAAGAAGATTCGGATTTTTTATTCAACACCAATATGAAGTCGATCCTTCTATACAAGTCAGAAAATTGGCCAAGGTGCCAGATTTCATCAATAGATGCCCCCACCCCCACTTCGCTGGCTAACTCTGTACTTAAGAACAAATGACCGACCAGAAAGAATTAGCGTAATAAGAAACTCCGGCTGGCAGTGAACGAATCAAGCAAGAGTTGATTTTTCAACAAATATGTAGGAGAAAAAGTGGAAATGCATTGACTGGGTATACGTTGAGGAGGAGGAGGAGGAGAAGGAGGGCCATCGAATGACATCTCGCACAATGCAGGCCATACACCGCTTGAGCGGAATCCAAATGAAAGGTGACAGACGAGTGGGTCGTCTGTATGAGGCTGACATGAAGGAGATCGTATGGTGAGGAGGAGGAGGAGGGAGAGGGGAAGGAAATGAGAGGTTGTGGTCAATCGTCGACCCGGATGAGAAGGACACCAGAAGATAGAACAGAGTGGATAGGTGTTGTTGAAGTCAGCCCTATCTTCCAGTTGGACAACAAAGGAATAATAAAAATGATATTATTAATAATCTTATGTACATCGGTTTCAAGGTTTCATCGTGACACAGACATCAGTGTTGGTCAGAGAATCATAGGAAAACCAACCACCTTGGGAGTACTGCTAAACAGCTGTTTCGTCCTAGTTTGGGACTCTTCAATGTTACGCACACATCCCACTAACAGGGTGTGAAGGCAGAACCACCTTCTCGTAACAAGGGAGAACTAACTCGTATACTAATAAGCCAGTGGAACCATCATCTGCTAACTAATGTCTTTGGCAGGTATTTTTCCTCAAGTAACCTGAATTGTACTCCAGTTCTCTCAGTGTCTGGTTCCCCAATAATTCTCTCTCTAACCAACCGAGATGTCAGTGGTCATGATGAAATCCTGTAACCAATTAATTAAATCCGTATAAATCCATACTTGAAAATCGGATGTACATATTCAATAGAGAAACACTACGACGACGACGATGACCAGTCTTATGAACAGATGAGTGATGAGAAGTAGGCAGTCCAACGATGATCAATAAATTGTACTACACTGTTTTCATTAGAATAAAACACAACAAAACACACTATACATATACATACCTTCCAGTTGAAGTCAACGATTTCATTCATATCAATATCTTCATCATCCTCGCCCATTGGATTGACTAATGTCTCAGCTACCTGAATAATAAAAAGACAGGGAAACAAAAAGAGAAAACAATAGAGAAGCAACATTATAAAAATGAATATTAGTTGAAAGATTCCATTATGAACAATGATATCGGTTGGTAGTTAGAGAAGCCCTCCTGGTCAATTGGAAAACCCACCACCACCTAGGAGTACTTCTAGACAGCATTTAGATTTTTATGGACCGAATAGCTCGCTGGCCATTGGATCAGGTCCCAGTGTGATTTAATGCTCTAAAAGCCTGTCATGTAACCAGACGGACGATCTGGGTCCCAATCCTGTCAGACAAGTGGGTGGGTGCATACTACCGAAGAGCCAAATCCAGCTCAAGCACTAGGACGGAGGAAACAGTTGGCTGTGTCTGACAGTACTCCTCCCTGTGGCTGGTTTTCCAATGGTTCTCTCACTGTCTCTCTAACCAATCGATGTCAGTACTCAGTGATGAAATCCTCCAACCAATGAATATCAATCAAACAAGATACCCACAGAAGAAGAAAAACCAACACTTGAAAAATGAATATCTAGAAGTACCAAGAGAGATGAAGTTCATCGTGCTGAAGTTTCTGTAGCAATTTGTTTACAGGATGAGGTTGCTAGACTCACGCCTGAGTAAGGAATGGTTACATTAAGATAAAGTTTAGAGAGAAGCGACCTTTTGGGTTGCTCCCCTTAAAATCAGATAACAAGGGATAAAACAATCAGAACAACACCAAAAAAAAGGAAAACAATTCACAGCAAAATGGGCAAAAAGCGACAACAACGATACAATAAAACAACACGCAATATAGTTCAGCACAGTTAACTAAAATTATACCAAAATCACAGACTCACTGACTTGGGCCATCTTGAACATATAAATCCAATAATATATACAAGTTTACATATGAGTTATTGTTAAAGGACACAAATGTCCAAAAACTTTGTTATAGGTATTAATAATCAATAATAGTATATCCAGGGTTTAAGCGTTTGAAAGTTAACGGAATTCAATAATTTAAAGAACTTCGTGGTGAGCAATAACAAAGAAATAAGAGAGTTTTATATATTACAGCAAAAAGTAATGCACTGATCAAAAAGCGCGCGCGGAAGCCTTCGAAGTAAGGACGGGAGTGAGACAAGCTGGCTGCCTACTATCACCAATGATCTTCCTGATTGCAGTAGATTGGATAATGCGACAGACAACGGGCAATGACGAAACAGGCATAAAATGGACTCTCACGAAAAACTTGGAGGATCTGGACTTCACCGATGTGGTGTATGTGTCTGATTTCCCAGAAACTGGAAGATATGCAAGTGAAAAGCAACAAGTTGGCAAAAGAACCATCCAGAGAAGATAGGAATTCAAGTGAACATAGATAAAAGAGAGGTGATGAAGATTCCTAGCCAACATCAACAGCCACAGCAACAACAACAACAGACAACAATCAGCCAGCATAAATGGGAGGAACCTGAGAGAAACAACCTCCTTAACCTACCTGCATGGGAAGTATCGTTTCAACTACAGGCCGACGGAAGTGACGAGGATATCAAAGCCAGAATCGGAAAAGCAACACAAGCTTTCATTACTCTCAAATCTGTGTGGAGGTCAACACTCAGCACTCACCATCAAAAATAACATCCGGATTTTCAACTCCAATGTGAAGTCAGTCAGTGCTACTCACTATACGGATCAGAGACTTGGCCAGCGCGTCATAAAGAGCATCTCTAACAAACTCCAGACCTTCATCAACAGATGTCTTCGCTCAATACTCCGCTCAAGATCAGATGGCCGGCCGGCCAGAAAAGATCAGCAACAGGGATCTCTGGCAATGAGCGAACCAACCCAGAAGGAACCGATTGTGAAACAAATAGGCAGGAAGAAATGGAGATGGATTAGCCATACTCTGAGGAAATCGTCAAGTGAGTGACATCACTAGACAAGCCATTGCTCGAGTGGATCCCAACCGAAAGGGAAGCGGGCAGTGAGTTGGTCGTCAGTTCGAGGGTAAGGTGACTTGGAGGAGGTCATGTGAGGAGGAGATGAAAGCGTGTGAACAGACTTGGAGCGGGGTGAAAAAGTTGGCAGAAAACAGAAGGCAATTGAGGTGCGCAGCTGAAGCCCTTTGTTCCTCTAGGAATTAAAGGATAAAATAATAAATAATAATCATGAAAAATGAATATTACACCTTAGTGGATTAAGAATTCATCTCTCTTGGTACTTCTAGATATTTAGATCGAAACCAACCAAAAATAAAAACAACCAGCAGATTAGGCGAAGAAATAAATAGGCATTATGTATTCATATGTATGCAGCTGGTTCATCATCACCCTAGTCAACTGGCTGTCTGACTGCTTTAAACAAAACAGCCAGTTGTATTTTTGTTTTACATCAAAACTTTTCATCAATCAAGTGGATCATTTCAGTTAAACAGTTTTAGGTTCAATATATCATGAATTGAATTTTTTGATTTTCCCGTCGATTGATCGGACCGAAGTGCTCGGTCTCAGGTTGGACAATCGACGGGAAAATCAAAAATTCAATTCAAATATGAAAATTCATTGTAAATTATTTAAATTAATCCCAGCGTGTTAAGAAAATCAAAACAAGATCTGTTTTCTGAACATTTCGCCGTGTAAGCCACAACCAGCTTCTTCAGCAGATTTATTCGGATTATAATTAATCATCAAATTATATAGTGTATGTAAAAGATATAGTTCCCACAAATGTCACAAAGTAATTGTGTCTACAAGATAAAGTGTTCAGAATGCGATGCATCCTATCTATATTGGGGGAGAGCAGTAGGCAGATGAAGGTCAGAGTGAATGAACACAGACTGACTACGCACGAAACGTCCCGGCCTAGAAATGAAGTAGAATTAAAAAGTCTAGAAAAAAGATCGGCTATAGCAATGCATGGGATAGACAGCGGACATAAGATTGATTTTGACAATGTCGAAATTCTTGGAAGAGGATTTCATTCAACATATAAAGAAAGATTGACTTCGGAAGCCTTGCACATTTTAACCACATCAAATGCAGTGAATAGGAGGGAGAGAAGGGATAGACTTATCACCTACCTATATGGCAAACTCTTATGAAGCAAGACAGATGAAAAAACAGCAAACACTCTATGAGCCTCCATGACCTTTAAAACATGTAGTGACACGTTTTTCACATATGAATCCACGTATTTCCCATATGACAACATACATACATACATACACACACACACACGCATACCAATCTAATCTTTACAAATCAACCATAGAAGAGTGAACACAACAGCAATTTGACATTAGTCATTACAAATATATGTGAACACGAGCAGGAGTAATTTTGCTCGAAATATTACCAATAACAAAACTTATCATAGTGTGTAAACTATTGAAATATAATTATGCTTTATTTGATCTAGTCCACAATGTTCAATCTTTTTACTGATATTCATTCGACAGCTTACATATTTCTATTGGTACAAATGTCTATGGACAAATGACCTTCAAAAAAACTGATTTCAATTTATGTAAACATTTTTGACTATACATTTTGATGATTAATAAAAATCCGAATAAATCTGCTGAAGAAGCTGGTTGTGGCTTACACGGCGAAATGTTCAGAAACAGATCTTGTTTTGATTTTCTTAACACGCTGGGATTAATTTAAATGATTTATAATGAGTCAATCTGACTCGGCGCTCAAATTATTTCAGGAAATTCGTAACACCTTCGGTCTGAAAACGTATAATTCACTGATATTTGTTTTGAATGCAATCTGAACCTTGTTGTTTACGCTGGCTAGTGGCGGAAGATTTCCCAAACTAGTTTCAGGTTGATGAAGGCCTAATGATCTTACCTTTGAAATTCTGTTTGACTAGCCGGCTGATTTTAATATCTCTTCATCCTTTCCGACTGCCTGTGGTTGAGACATTGCTTCTTAGACAGATAAGTGAAGGCAGAAAGTACCCCCCCCAACCAACCAACCAACCTCTTTATCCCGCTGATGATGACTGACTGGTGCCGGTTTTACAAATTTACCAATTGATGAGAAGGCAATCTTATGCACAAAGGGGTAAGACTTCAGGGGTCAAGGAAACAATACCAACAACCAATACCTAAACAAGCAGTAGCTGAGGGGTTTTGAAAAAGTAACCAATCACATTCGCCCCTACAAAATGTAAGATGCTGCTACAGGACTGGACTACGTCAACTCCTACCTTAGTGATAGGGACTGAAGTGATAGAACATGTTGACCACTTCATCTATTTGGGAAGTTGTATTAGCACCAACGGACTGATTGACAATGAAATCTCAGCACGGATCCAAAAAGCTCGAGCTGCTTTCGCTGACTTACACCATCTCTGGCGTAGGCGTGACATCCGGTTATCAACCAAGGGACGTGTGTACTGCTCAGCAGTTCGCTCCGTCCTTGTCTATGGCTGTGAAACATGGTCAATACGAGTTGAAGACGTGAAAAGGTTGACTGCTTTCGATCATAGATGTCTGCGATCTCTTTCTAACATTAGGTGGTATAATAAGGTAAGTAATGTTGACGTTAGGCGTGGAGTGTTGGGCAAACAGGTAGGGAGATGTCAGGTAGGGGGAGTCAGGTAGGGAGATGCAGACTCCAGGGTTGGGGCCCTCGGGACTCTAGGAAATCGATGGCTGGAGACAATAGGTGACATGGCTCAAAGTGATCGTTGTCAATGACTGGAGCAGATGTATTCAGTTTCTGTAATCTTTCATATTCCTTTCTACCATTACCCATTCTGTTTTACTCTTATACTTGTCAGACTGTATTGATTCTCTTCACTCATCTTCTTGTCTACCTCTGTGTGCTATTTAGAACGTGGCAACTCGAACTGGTGCACTTCGGTGCCAAGTTCTATGTTGAATCCAGACAGACAGAACCAATCACGTTCAAGGTCACCAGACACCAGGAGAGATGCTTAATAAACTTATGGAGAAATCTAAACGCTAACTTCAATTAAAATTGAAGTATGCGCGCTGAAAATACTACCTGCCTAGTAGGAGGGCAATGATGGAAGCTTGTTAAAAATAAACCATCCATCCAGGTAGTTAGCTCAAAGAACACAACTATATCTATATATTAGAAATCGGATAGGGTTAAAATTGTTATTGAATAGTGAGAAGAAAGGTAGTAACTGAGTGTCCATTTTTAACAAGTGTGAAGAGGGTGTGAAAATGTACGAAAAGAACACATGACAGTGATAATAGTGAATTAATTATTGAAGTAAAATTGATAATCAAAGATAAGATAATAATGGCTTTATTCCAAAACAGTACTTTGTGATACATAGAATGGAATTCTCAGCATTTTTTACTACAATACTGCATCCAGTTAGTACATTAACAATAAATAAAGTTCTACATACATTAAAGTTATCTCAGTCAGTTTTGACAACAACATATTAGCATGTCGGTCGGTAGCAAAGCCAAAATTTAAACAGAGTGTTTGAAGGTGTTAGAAAAGTAGATACTACTAGCATATTCACTGGCGTAAGCGGTGACAAAATGGACGAGATATACAGAGTGTGAAAGAACGAACAAGAATGTTTTAAGTAGAGTTTGTAAGGAAGAGAGAAACAAACCAGCACACAACAATAGTAAATACAGAAAGAAAAAAAAGTAGAGAGAAAACGTTGTACCTGTAAATGATGTGAGTTGGATAGACGAAATCTATTTGTTCTACTGACTATTTAATAAGTTAAAGGTTTCACGCCTAATGCTTTCTTTATCGCACAGAACGCGAGCTAGGTAGGGTATGGATGAGTTTTTGTACTTACTAGTGCGGGCATATAGTTTCCTACATAGGCTTCTGGTTTTGCCTGATGAGATACATGGGAAGAGTTGAGAATAAAGAGGGTGGTGAGAGTTAGATAAAATGGATTTAGCCCATTTTTCACATGAGTCCATGTTCCTGTCCACCAGAATATTAACAAGCTGGTTTAATGGCACATTGCTTACCCTGCTGACAACCTTTAACACCCTAAGTAATAAGATGTAGTCCTTCTTCAGTAGCCAGCCCTGGAAAAACTAAAGGGGAACAATAGAGAATAATAGGCAGAATACGGGAGTTAACAAATTGTAGGAGTAAGGGTTGGGTTACACCAGAATGTCTTAACTTCTTGATGTAGAAGGTAAGATGGAATATTTTCTTAAAAGTCGTCAAGATATGAGACGACCAGGAAAGATCAGAAGATAGAGTGACGCATAGGTATTTAATTTCCGACTTGGTTTCTATTTCAGTGCCATCAATGTTGCACATCTCGTGAGTGCTAACCAGTTTGTTTAGGTCAGATTTGTGCCTGAAGGTGAAATTAACTGTTTGGCATTTGGAGGGGTTTAAGGTGAGACCGTTTTCCTTGGACCATTGGCTGATTTCTGATAAAAAACCATTTAGTTTAGAGCAGTCACTTTCACATTTGACAGGCAAAGATACGGTCAGATCGTCAACATATTTAACAAAATTAATGTCATTTGAAGATGGTAGGTCATGTAGAATGAAAGAAAGAAAAGAGAAGTGGGGAGATTACAGCAGCTTGGGGGACACCAGCTTCAGTAAGCACAGCAGAGGAGGATTCGCCTTTGTATACAGTGTACCGCATTCTGTTAGAAAAGTAGGAATGCAACCAGTTAGTGACCCAGGATTCGATTTGTGTCATGGAGAGCTTATTTAGCAAGAGACTTCTAGGCACAGAGTCGAAAGCAGAAGTGAAGTCAAGAAACGTGCAGCGGACATATTTGGCACCTTTGTCTAATGATGAGATAATACTGTTGTGTAAGACGGCTGCAGCGTCTAAAGTACTCCTACCCTGTCTGTAGGCAAATTGTTTGGGGTCTTCGAAGCTTTTAAGGGAGGGTTCGAGTTTAAGAAGTACTAGTTTTTCCATAAGCTAAAATTTTTTAACAGGGAATGACTAGTGAAGAGGTTAAGACCAAGGTGGAATAAGAGATTGGTCAGATGTTTTCTATATAAAAAGTTCAGAGTTGTATTGACGAATCGCAAACGCTTCCAGCATATACAAAAGCCGAAACCTGACGCACTTTATACCATTTGAACTCACGTTGTAGATGGTATTGAAAGACGACTGTGTTCAGGCTACGTAGCTTCGGTTCGCCAGATGCATTTTCCTTTTGCTAACCATGCCGGATAATAATCAGAGATGCGTTTGGAAATTGTGTGTGTCAGCTTTGTGTAGTCAATATAACTAGCTACACACGAATAGGTGAATTTATAAACACACACGCACACATTCAAGTGGCCCTTCCAAAGCGGCAGGAGTTTATCATTCACACATCCATTGATCATTTGTCGGCTGTAGAAAATGATACGTAGCTCAGCAGTAGACGAGCTTCTCCTCAGTGTTCTGCATAAGCGATTTTTCTTCTTTTATTTTTTTTTACTTCTAAAGCTATGGTGAGAGCTATCTGCTAGCCAAAATTGGTGGACAGCAATTGACATCAACATTTACGTCCCGAATCGGGGTCATGAGAAAAACACACTACACAAAGCTTAACCTTGAGGTATTCAACAAACAATCACAGCAGACCTTGCGTAGGAAGATACGATTCTCAGATATATATATATATATATAGCCTGACTTCTTAAGAAACAGCCACAAAAAGATAATAGAATAACCTTCAGCAGGAAAACAACCAATCACAAGACGTCGCTCCTCTGGTTTGGAATGATATTGGCAGACCACCTATCACAAATACTTCCCAGACTCTTGTCAGTGCCTGTGGTGGGCGGCTCAAACTAACTGGTGAACTCAAATGTTCTGTTTTATTCCGTGACATTCCGTAAATTCACAGGAATTTGCTACGTCACCAAGAGTGATTTAAATATTTTGGGACTTGATTGGTTCGATCGTTTGCATCTGGCTGATGTCCCACTAAATTCTTTATGCAATGCAGCCAAGAAACATAAAATGTCCGAAAATTCCGGACGAAGCCGAAGCCGCAAACCCAACAGGCAGACGAAGCGACAGACGTCAACAACAAGCTCAACGGTTCCAGATAAAACCCCAAGAAAACACCCTACTAATCATCAATCTTCTCAAAAGGGGAGGTGATATGTATCCACATAATATGTGTGTGTTTGTTTTTGACAGTCTGTTATATTTTCCTATGTATATATGAATCGATATTCCATTATAATTGACAATATGTTTTTGTCTGTTCACTAACTAAATAAATATGTCTTTTCTATTATGTCTGACCTTGTTGTCACATGACATTACAACCAATCATGTTAAGACTGTCTATTGATTCGTTCATATTTTTGAACATTCGCTCATACACTTGTGTGACATTGATTTTCCTGGTTGTTTGAAAAGAAAAAATACAAGTATCATCGTGAACCTGGTGGTTTTCTGATTTCCGCCTCTTCTTGAGTCAGGACTATTAATTACTCGACCAGTACATAACACTGCTAACAATAATACATAAAAGTTCTATAAATATCTGTTGGTTTTTCTAAATGAAGGATCTGTTGCCTGGTCCTACTAGTCTTCTGCCTAATACTGCTACTGCTAAGTCAAATCAAGCGATGAAAAATAATGGATATATATATATATTTCATGGAGGATTTAATCATGAGCTGACATAAAAAAAAACCAATATATATATACATAAACGAAGTTAGAAAGTTCCTTGAAATGATGGTGAATGTGAAGCAATAAATCAATTGTGCTCAAAGCATGGTGGTCAGTCATCGATATGTATTTTGTATTACATGTGCGTCGGTGGCACAGCGGTTAGGACTCACACCGATCATGAAAATAGTCTGAAGTTCAATCCCCTGCCACTGACGCACACCTGATATCTATGGGGTAGGTCTGCAAAATTTGGACTACCGATATCCATGCTGAAAATTCCGTACTTGTACCAAAAATACAGTGTGGAATCAAGCTGTTATCAAAAAAAAAAGGAATACACCATGAGACTTTCGTAGAAAAAAGAAAAACAGATGAAGGACAGCTAAACTGGGGTCTAATATTTCAAATCTTACTTTTAACCAGCCAACATAGACAATAAGTTCTAATAGTGTGAACAATGGAAAGTATAATTCCTTTGATTTCGCCATTCCAGCAAGAGGTGAACTACTGATGATAAATTGACTACTGATGAGGGAAGCAATCACATAAGAGTACACTGCTAATGTTACAACCTAAATATAAGAGCAAAACAAAAAGAAACAAACAAAAAAATAAACGGACAATTAAAACAGAAAAAACTGGTAAAAGAAATTCATAAATATTGAGATTTTGAGAGCATATCTTGTGGTGAGACCAGCTTGCTAGCCAATTGGTTGACATTACTCTACGTCAATGTCTAGGTCACTAATATTGACCGTGAGAAAATATGAACAAGGCTGTTTCAACAACCAATCACAGCAGACTTATGCGTGGGTAAATATGATTCGCAGAGAGATGGCTCCACTCCACTTTCCGTCCGAGGAACTCGAAAACAACCAATCAGAAGACTGTATTTATCTACTTGACTAGGCTATAATAATGTATGTGAAATTTATATAAATACGTGTTGATTTCCGTAATAAAACGATCTGTTGCCTGGCCCTTGTCTTCTGTTGTCACATATATATTCATGGAAAATTCCTATTGTAACACAGAAAATCAAAACAACTGATGCAGCAGAGAGACTGTTTCCAATTTAACAAGTGTGAAGAGAATGGGAAAATGTACAAAAGGGACATATATAAGAGTGATAATAGTGAATCAGTTGTTAAAGTAACAGGCAAACTGTGCATCGGTGGCCTAGCAGTGGTTAGGAGATGTGTTCTACATGGAACCTAAGGGAATAATTATAATAATAATATATGGAATTACACATCCTACCACCACAATGCTCAAGTTCTACACTGACATGCAAACAAATCACAGTGGGTAGAAATGGGTATCCTCAAAAGTTCATCAACAAGTATGGAAGATCTGAGGTCACAAATGTAAAACAAATCACAGTGGGAAACAAGCCAGTCTAGGTTCAGCTTGATTATAAAGGTGAAAATATTGCAGCGATGATCAACAGAAGGCTGAGTACATCACTAGTCACAGTCTATCCTGCAGCTAAGCTCGTTCCCGTCTCTATCGAACAACTTGCTCTTCTCTGGTGCAATCAAAAATCGATAGATATCCTTCTCATGTTAACCACTCCAACTGTATATACAAATTTACGTGTATCTGCGGGAGCAGTTACATTGGAAGGACAGAAAGCAGAAGGGCATATCTACGATTTTCTGAACATGTACCAAAAAGCTTATGTCTACAACTGGGAACAAATGCTTCAAACAGTGCCATCGATCATCAAGCATCTCCCCCACACGAGTCGGTCATGAGGTGAACGTCGAAAAGTCATTCAAAATTATCAACAGGCAAAATAGCTCAATTCTCCTTAAGTTTGCTGAAGCGATTTCTATCAAACGCTTGAAACCAGATCTATGTGTTCAGAACGAAGCAGTTATTAGTCTTTCCTTGCCTTGGTAACTGGATGCCTTTTTTTCTCCCATCTGATTACGTAATCTTTGTCTTTAACCTCATCCTCCTTTTTATAATCTGTAATTTTGCTTGTCTCTTGTTTGTATGATTTGAGCTCAACTCAGTACATTGTTACCTAACTTACTAGTCACTATGCACCTAACGCACATCTCCTCTTTATTATGTAACTCCTTTACCATTTTCTGCATACATTTATTTTGTTTTAACTTGAACTGCCTGTGTGAAAACTATATAACCACAATTTTCTGAGCACTGTTTACTAATTGTGGAAATTTCTGTCAACTGACAACATGTAAAAATTTGCAAGTATGTTAAAACATGTCTGTACTTAAACCTCATAATTTATTTAGGCTGTAGGCAGCTGATGAGAAGCCAACGAAATAAATGATGGTAGCATTTTATTCTGCTAAAACCACTGTAGTTCTTGCTTTGTTCAAATTCATTAAGGGGTATAAATGTATGAAATAACATGCATAAGTACATATGACGTTAATTTCGATCACTCGAAAAAATCCCACATCACTTGATAGCCGATCTGATGTTCACTAGTGACTGACAGTATACAGGAAGTAGACCTGAATTTCTAGTGCAAGAAGTTGTAACCAACCAGCGAAGTCCATCAAATTAAGCGAGAGGACAGTTGCTCGCCAGTGACAATGGCTGGCGGTTGCGCTAAATATTTATATCATGATTGGTTGGAGGACTTCACATCATCAGGCGAAATCAGCTAGAGAACCATTGGAAAACCAGTCACAGGGAGGACTACTAGACAGCCGTTTCACTCCGTCTTAGTTTGGGACTGGATCTCCAGCAGTACACATCCACCCCATTGGGTTTCGAACTCAAGACCTTCCTCTGGTTACAAGGAGAGCCAGCTCGTAGACTATTAAGCAGTCAGTCACTGGGAACCACTAATGCAATTGCTAGACAGTCAATGAATACTAACTCTTGCCACTTCAGCCAGGAAATAGCACGATCACTTCTCAATGTCTTCTTTGACGAGTAACTGTCCTCACCTTACCACATGCTGTACCCTACTGGTCATAGCTTACCAAAAGAACCCCAGGTAGCTAGCTACCTACTTGAATAGGGCCAGTCACTAGTGAGCATCAGACTAATATTCAGTAGTTTAATACTCATATCATGAATTGGCCGGAAGTTGGAATGCATGGGTTGGTTATTGGTCTACGAGGCTTGCTCGCCTTGTAACCAGAAGGTTTGCCTGCATTCGAAACTTAGTGGGAAGTGAGTGCGTACTGCTGAAGCGGACTCCAAAACTAGAACAAGAGAGACAGCTGTCTGCTAGTACACCTGAGTGGTTTTCCAATTATTATTATTATATCCTTTAATTCCTAGAGGAACATAGGGCTTCAGCTGCGCACCTCAATTGCCTTCTGTTTTCTGCCAACTTTTTCACTCCGCTCCAAGTCTGTCCACACGCTTTCATCTCCTCCTCACATGACCTCCTCCAAGTCACCTTACCCTCGAACTGACGACCAACTCACTGCCCGCTTCCCTTTCGGTTGGGATCCACTCGAGCAATGGCTTGTCTAGTGATGTCACTCACTTGACGATTTCCTCAGAGTATGGCTAATCCATCTCCATTTCTTCCTGCCTATTTGTTTCACAATCGGTTCCTTCTGGGTTGGTTCGCTCATTGCCAGAGATCCCTGTTGCTGATCTTTTCTGGCCGGCCGGCCATCTGATCTTGAGCGGAGTATTGAGCGAAGACATCTGTTGATGAAGGTCTGGAGTTTGTTAGAGATGCTCTTTATGACGCGCTGGCCAAGTCTCTGATCCGTATAGTGAGTAGCACTGACTGACTTCACATTGGAGTTGAAAATCCGGATGTTATTTTTGATGGTGAGTGCTGAGTGTTGACCTCCACACAGATTTGAGAGTAATGAAAGCTTGTGTTGCTTTTCCGATTCTGGCTTTGATATCCTCGTCACTTCCGTCGGCCTGTAGTTGAAACGATACTTCCCATGCAGGTAGGTTAAGGAGGTTGTTTCTCTCAGGTTCCTCCCATTTATGCTGGCTGATTGTTGTCTGTTGTTGTTGTTGCTGTGGCTGTTGATGTTGGCTAGGAATCTTCATCACCTCTCTTTTATCTATGTTCACTTGAATTCCTATCTTCTCTGGATGGTTCTTTTGCCAACTTGTTGCTTTTCACTTGCATATCTTCCAGTTTCTGGGAAATCAGACACATACACCACATCGGTGAAGTCCAGATCCTCCAAGTTTTTCGTGAGAGTCCATTTTATGCCTGTTTCGTCATTGCCCGTTGTCTGTCGCATTATCCAATCTACTGCAATCAGGAAGATCATTGGTGATAGTAGGCAGCCAGCTTGTCTCACTCCCGTCCTTACTTCGAAGGCTTCCGCGCGCGCTTTTTGATCAGTGCATTACTTTTTGCTGTAATATATAAAACTCTCTTATTTCTTTGTTATTGCTCACCACGAAGTTCTTTAAATTATTGAATTCCGTTAACTTTCAAACGCTTAAACCCTGGATATACTATTATTGATTATTAATACCTATAACAAAGTTTTTGGACATTTGTGTCCTTTAACAATAACTCATATGTAAACTTGTATATATTATTGGATTTATATGTTCAAGATGGCCCAAGTCAGTGAGTCTGTGATTTTGGTATAATTTTAGTTAACTGTGCTGAACTATATTGCGTGTTGTTTTATTGTATCGTTGTTGTCGCTTTTTGCCCATTTTGCTGTGAATTGTTTTCCTTTTTTTTGGTGTTGTTCTGATTGTTTTATCCCTTGTTATCTGATTTTAAGGGGAGCAACCCAAAAGGTCGCTTCTCTCTAAACTTTATCTTAATGTAACCATTCCTTACTCAGGCGTGAGTCTAGCAACCTCATCCTGTAAACAAATTGCTACAGAAACTTCAGCACGATGAACTTCATCTCTCTTGGTACTTCTAGATATTCATTTTTCAAGTGTTGGTTTTTCTTCTTCTGTGGGTATCTTGTTTGATTGATATTCATTGGTTGGAGGATTTCATCACTGAGTACTGACATCGATTGGTTAGAGAGACAGTGAGAGAACCATTGGAAAACCAGCCCACAGGGAGGAGTACTGCCAGACACAGCCAACTGTTTCCTCCGTCCTAGTGCTTGGGCTGGATTTGGCTCTTCGGTAGTATGCACCCACCCACTTGACTGACAGGGTTGAAACCCTGGATCGAAGGCATTTTCAAAGTCGATGAAAGTGAGTGAGATAGAGAGGTGACTGTCATTCTAAGCTTTGTTCAATGATGATTCGTAGAGTGGCGATTTGATCAATACATGATTTGTTTCTCCTGAATCCGGCCTATTCCAGTCGAAGTTCTCCATCCAGGTTGGCTTGTTTGATTCTCTTCAGGACGATGCGGCTTAGTATTTTGCTTGGAATGGACAGGAGCATAATTCCCCGCCCGGGTGGTTTTCCAATGATTCTCCTTAAATTGATGTCAGCTCACAATGAATCCTGAAAAAAAATGATGTGTATTGATTTCTAGCCAGTTGGCTTTAACACCACTTATAAAAGTGAAGTAGGAGAGAGAGAGAGAGGGGTGATATTTTCATTTCACTCACCTGAGTATAAACAAGTGGAATACATATAGCATCCATCAGCATCATTTCCAATATGCTTCCACGAAAAGTATTCATTTCCTGAAGAAAGAAAGAAATAAAAGATATCGACAAATCAGACAACTTGAACAAGGTAAATACTCACATCCAAACAAGACCATATGAAGAAATTAAAAAATCAATAGACACAGTTATGAATAAAGTTAAGAAATCCACAGTGGACATAATACGCCGTTTCTAGCTAAGTCTGAATGGTTTAATTTAATGCCCAAAACTAATAACCCCAGTAGGATGTATGGTGTTGTCAAAGTTGATAAATCAGGATACCCTATTAGGCCTATAGTTGATTTTAGAAATTCACCTACCTATGAATTGTCTAAATATTTAGGCATGGTATTAAATCCTCTAAAAAGCCACTCGAAATCCAGACTAACTAACTAGTTCTTTTGAACTAAAACACAGATTAGATAATTTAAAATTAGATAATGAAGAAAAAATGGTTAGTTTTGACATTGTCAGTTTATATTCACGTAAATCAATAGAAAAATGGCTATACAGGCGGGCAGAAACGAACTCATTTCTGACCAAAAACTCGAACTTAGGACAAAAGTGCCACTTGAGGACATAAAGCTGGGAGTACAGCTATGCCTGACTTCCACAGTATTTAAATTCCAAGGGAAAATATACACACAAACTGAGGGAGTTGCCATGGGATCACCAATATCCCCAGTTGTAACAGATATATTCATGGATAGGTGGGAAAAGATAGCGATTGAAACGTTCACCCCCACCCCAAAAGTATGGTGGAGGTATGTAGATGACACATTCACTGTACTTAGAACACAAGATATCGATAGATTTATCGAGCACATCAACTCGAAGGTAGAGGCAATTCAATTAACTTATGAATTGGAAAGTCAGGAAGGGGAACTTCCAATGTTAGATTGCAACGTAAAAAGGAAAGAAAGAAGATGGGAAGCTAAACACTAGTGTTTACAGAAAACGCACACATTCAAACAGATATTTGGATTTCCGATCATCCCATCCACCATATGTCAGTATGAAATAGGATTAGTGAAATGTTTAAATGACAGAGCACAAAAACTAAGTAGTACCAAGGATAATCTAAGACAGGAAGTGATACACATAAAAGAAGCCTTGAAACTTAATAATTACCCGGATAAATTAGTCAAGAAATATGTAAGTAAGTAAATGTAAAAGTAAAATAAATAATGATAATAGCGATAGTGATAATAATAATAACAATATTAATGATAACAATAATAATGATAAACTACCAAAAGAAGGGAGACATACGGCTAACTCTGTAAGAACTGACTGGTGTGTAATAATGCTCTTCTTCTTCACGCCAAGTAAAATACTAAGTCACATCATCCTGGAGAGAAGCGTCATAATTCATCACAGAACTAAGGAGAGAATGGCAGTCACACGTCATCCTTGCCATCCTATTGTGTCATCGTGTGTTAATGCATGTGGTGCAATGTAGTGCTGAGCTTTTTTCCAAAAGTACTTATCTTCATGGGGTCAATTATTCTACACTTAGCTAAATTCTCATGTCCTGGTAATCTGGCTACCCCCAATCTACTAGTCTTACTCACCTATGTAGGTAGTTGACCTGACTTTCAGTCACCACTGTCTAATTGCGGCAACCTACAGGGTCCATTAGGCTACCCACCTACCTACCTACCTACCTACAGAGCTTGTCCTACTTTTGAGCGACTCTGTAGTTTTAAATGCCACCACCACCACCACCCTAATTCCTGCGTCATTGAGAAGTATACATTGGATCTAGGATGATCTCAGATATCCCCTCCCTCCTTGTATGGTCAAACTAATATAGATGCGTTATATTGTTTCTTATTTACATTATCATTATCAGTTTCTCCAACCAAGTCAAGCGATGAAAAATAATGGAATTATATAAACAAATTTCGAAAGTTATATGAGTGGTGCTATGATGTGATTACGACAGACTGTGGTCGAAACGTGTAGTCATCAGTAAATATTACTGTATAACAAACAGAATGTGTGACACTGTGAAAATTTTACAGACAATGGCAGGCGGGCCAAAGTACCAACTAACAGTTCCACAAAAGGTCTTATTCTTACAAACTAAGTTCTTCGGGGGATAACATCATCAAGATGATTAACAGAGCGCTTTAGTAATGCAGTGGTGAAAAGAGCATCCAGTGCTGCGGTTGAATTACACTGTATCTTCAAAACCACCCCCACCCCCCCACACACACACACATTTTGCGTTTAGGAGTAAAAGATAAAAAACTGCATAATTTCGCCTCTTCTATCTGCATGTATTTACCAATTTGACTACTCTTTTAGGAGCCAGTTACATAGGCCGTACAACAATTAGTCGTGTTTCTTGTCAAATTTCTGAACATCACCCTGCACAGTATGGTTGGTTACCTAAAGGATAAACAAAATCCATTCATCATAGCTCTATTCTACCTCATCTTATGGATACAGGACACCAGACTGATTGATGTTTCCAAAGTGGCTTTCAAAGTCATCTACCGCATACCAACGAATCTTGCCTTCACCCTAAGAGTTTGTTTACTACATATTGCTGAGGCTAGTAGTTGTTGGGATCAACACTAAGAAACTGCAACTTATGTAGTATATATGCACAAAAGAGGTTGGTTGGTTCAGACACTATCATCAGCTTTGTCATCAAGGTTCTAATGATTCTCACTTTGCTGTTGTGGAAATTTCTTTCATTTTATTCGATATTCTATTTACTATTACATTTTTATGCTTCTTATTTATAATTTATGCAGCATCTTTTGTGAACTGTCTGTAATCCCATTGTGATTTAAGTGTTGGTTTGCAGGGATTTGGTTGGTTTCAGGATTTCATCATGAGCTGACATTAGTTAGAGAACCATTGGAAAACAGGCTGGGAGTACTGGACAGCTGTTTCGTCAGCCTACTTTGGGACTCTTCAGTAGTACTCACCCACCGGGATTCGAACCCAGGACATTCCGGTTGGCTAGCGGTCGCGCTATGTCGTGAATTGGCAGAAGTTAGAATTCAAGGACTCGTCATTGGATCGGGTCCCAGTGGCTTAATGGTATGCGAGCCAGCTCGTCCTGTAACCGGAAGGTCCTGGGTTCGAATCCTAGTGGTGGGTGATTACTGCTGAAGAGTCCCAAACTAGGCTGACGAAACAGCTGTCCAGTACTCCCAGCTTGTTTTCCAATGGTTCTCTAACTAATGTCAGCTCATGATGAAATCCTGAAATCCCATTTTGATCTTACTTAACAAATCAAAGGTATTCAAAAAGCACCACCAATATTGTTATTGAATACTATTCTAGAATATACTGTGCAAAGAAAGATGGATAGTCGTGACCATTAGGGAACAGTTGGTCGGGTGTAAGGACAACTGTCCACTGAAGACATTGCCTAATACCAGTCGCGCTATGTCTTGGATTGGTAGAAGTTAGAATACATGAACTGGCTGGCTGGCTGGCCGGCTGTCTATTGGATCGGGTCTCAGTGAATGACTGACTGATTAACGGTCTATGCAGTAGTTCGCTCGCTCGCTCACTCGCTTTGTAACCCAAAGGTGGTACTGGGTTCGAATTCCATCTGTGGGATGGGTGCGTACTGATGAAGCGGAATCCTAAACTAAATCAACGAGACTGCTTTCTAGCAGTACTCCAAGTGGCTGGTTTTCCATTGGTTCTCTAACCAACCTATGTCAGTGCTCATGATGAAATACTCCAACCAATTAAATCAAAAACAAAGACCCTAGAAATAAACCAATACTATAAAAATAAAAATAATTCAATATTGTCATTGTTGGTGGTGGTGGTGGTGGTGGTTGTTTTATGATGACATCACCACCACCACCACCAACACCACCAACAGCGCAAAAAAAGATTCGCTTTCAAAATGACAAATGGTAAATATCATATGATGGAAACAGAAACAAAGAGAGAGAGAGTATGGAATGTGAACCAATTTTTTGGCAAAGATATTTGTCTTTTCGGCGATTTCATTCTCAAAAGCAGCTGTACAATCGCATTTATTCATATCGATTATTTTACATGCATACAATTATTATTATTTGTTTAATTAATTCCACATAGTAACGAAGGTGATAATAATTTTCAACTTGATATGATAGTTTGAAGGTACGAATATATAGATTATAGATTAGAAGGGGCTTAGAGACAAGATTTCATAGAATTAGAAAACAGTTACAACGTATGCAAAAAAAATTATTATTTGATAACTGGAGAAATAATAATTGTAAAGGCGAATCAAAGGTGATAATTATTTTCGACTTGATATGAATTACAAGAGGCTTAGAAACGCAGGCATAGAACGAGCTACAGGTGTGAACAAAAATGAGCATGGAAACAAACTGAGATCACAATTTTCAACTTGAAATGTTAGTTAGGAGGTGTGTGTGAATATAGATTACAAGACGCATAGAGACAAAAAATTACACACAGGATTTGAATATAATTGTAAAATGGTTATTCTAAAACGGATTACAAGTGTGATCAGGAGGAGCATGGAAACAAGCCGTCCAATACTTTGAAACAACACGAAGGACAAACTCTCGCATATGACCAAGTCAATGTGCATATACCAGTTCACTTGCTCGTGCGGAGCTAGGCACACAGGTCGTTGTATGCGCGTCCTCTCGAAACGTGTTAGAGAACACTACGCAGAGTGACTGCAAAGAGGAGCCACACCGGTTCAATCAGAAGTGCCATTATTGAACATCTAGTCAACACCTCCCACAAAATCTCAACCGATTCTTTCAAAGTGATTTACAAAGTCAACAGAAACCTACCAAGAGCAGTATGTTTCTGACTTCTTTGTACTGCAGATGCCCTCGCAATATGCATTGAGAAGCCGAAGCTTTGTATTCAAAAGAAATTAGTCCAACCTCTACAACTACCATGAACCTAGCTGGGTATGTTCCCTTTGCTTCCGTCTTTTTCTCTACTCCTCGTCTGTTTTCGTTCTCGCTTTTCACTTTAGAGCATTTTTTGTTCGCTGTGTGTCTGATTCTTAGTCTCTCAGTCTTCATTAGATCCACCTAATTCTTTTTTTTCAGCTATAAAAACAGCTATTTTAATTTTGTTTCAATGCTCCTCCTGATCACACTTGTAATCTGTTTAGAATAACCATTTTATAATTATATTCTAATCCTGTGTGTAATTTTTTGTTCCTATGCCTCTTGTAATCTATATTCACACACACACTCCTAACTAACATTTCAAGTTGAAAATTTTGATTTCAATTTGTTTCCATGCTCATTTTTGTTCACACCTGTAGCTCGTTCTATGCCTGCGTTTCTAAGCCTCTTGTAATTCATATCAAGTCGAAAATAATTATCACCTTTGATTCGCCTTTACAATTATTATTTCTCCAGTTATCAAATAATAATTTTTTTTGCATACGTTGTAACTATATTCTAATCCTATGAAATCTTATCTCTAAGCCCCTTGTAATCTATAATCTACATTCGTACCTTCAAACTATCATATCAAGTTGAAAATTATTATCACCTTCGTTTCTATGTGGAATTAATTAAAAAATAATAATAATAATTGTATGCATGTAAAATAATCGATATGAATAAATGCGATTGTACAGCTGCTTTTGAGATTGAAATCTCCGAAAAGGCAGATGTCTTTGCTGAACTTCGTGTTCTCTTCTTTCTAATATCCATATGGCTATTTTTTTCCAAGAACCAATTTTTTTCTCTCCGGTGAACATGTGAGCCTCTTTTTATAAACAATCTCAATCTTCACTGAAAATCGAAAAATCAAATCAAAATTCAAACAAATCGAAGTGAAATGTTAAATGTTTTTCTTACATTAATCAAAAGTGTATGCGAATGTTGATTTTTAAAGAAGCCTTCTTTTTGTGCTAATGCCATCAATGATGTAGCCCAGACAATTGGAACAAATGGTTGAACATGAGCTGGTTGTACACTCGTAATGATTCGAACTTCTTCTTCGGTAAGAATACCTGAAAGTAGTAGAATTAAAAACAGGGATGTTAGTTCTTGCTGACTGTTTGACTGACTGGTGGATGAGTGTCAACTAGTACGAAACCCAAGGTGTACAAATCCAAGGCTTCCTGTGTTGCCTAATGGCCTCCAACCCCGTATCTAATATACCAACAATTCAAAGTGCACCGTGATGGTGAGGTAGCCATGTAGCGCCATGATGGCCACACTGTAAATTTGACTGATTGATAGAATTTAGTCTGGATCAACACCAAGGATTAGCTAGACACATCACACTTGTTACTGACTAGTGTCCGAGATCAAAATAATATGCAATACAGTCAGAGTACTACAAGAGATCAATCACAAGCCAACGCGAATAGTTCAGTGCTGGTAACCAACTCTGACTCTCTGCAGTACTCACTGAGTGACGCGGATTCGAATATCTCAGGAGTGTGGGGGGGTGGTTGAGTTGTCCCTTCAATGTGGTTACAGATACTCTTTGGCCGACCAGTATCAACAAATAGGGCAAAACCTACCTCCAAGAATTCCTATCGATTGCCTGCAACCATCTAACATCAGTTCTGTATTAATTTGTTTTTATTAGATGTATATATCACACACACACACATGTTTCAATGGCACAGTGATAAAACGCTTGCCACCAACCACACCTCATGTGGTCTTGGGTTTAATTCCCGACAGACTACCGATGCACTCCTCGCTACCTCGCGCTAAGCCAGTCATAAGACTGGTAAAAAGTCAGAAGGTTGGAGATATGAGGCAATCTAATCCCTTGAAAAATAAAACACTACTGCTACCGAAATTTCAAGCATGTAGTTTGAAGCCACCCACCCCTCACCAACGTGAAGGAATAAAATATTTAAAATTAATAATCACACACACACACACACAGAGAATGAAACAGTATTATTCAAGTGTTGGTTTGTAGGGATTTGATTGGTTTCAGGATTTCATCATGAGCTGACATTAGTTAGAGAACCATTGGAAAACAAGCTGGGAGTACTGGACAGCTGTTTCGTCAGCCTAGTCTGGGACTCTTCAGCAGTACTCACCCACCGGGATTCGAACCTAGGACCTTCTGGTTACAAGGCGAGCTGGCTCGCATACCATTAAGCCACTGGGACCCGATCCAATGACGAGTCCTTGAATTCTAACTTCTGCCAATTCACGACATAGCGCGACCCTAGCCAATGTCTTCGGGGGCGAGTATTTGCCGTGACCAGTAGGGTGCAGCTGGTCGGGTGAGAGGACAAATACTCGCCAGCGAAAACATTGGCTAGCGGTCGCGCTATTTCGTGAATTGGCAGAAGTTAGAATTCAAGGACTGGTCATTGGATCGGGTCCCAGTGGCTCAATTGTCTACGAGCTCGCTAACCTTGTAACCAGGAGGTCCTGGGTTCGAATCCCGGTGGGTGAGTATCGATGAAGAGTCCCAAAGTAGGCTGACGAAACAGCTATCCAGTACTCCCAGCCTGTTTTCCAATGGTTCTCTAACTAATGTCAGCTCATGATGAAATCTTGAAACAGTATTACTGTTTACTGGATGACAACGCTTTTCAAACAAAACACAATTTGTTGATTTAAGTAACTTGAAAATCCCCATTCAGTCATATATAAGAAAAGAAGGTGTTCAGCGAAGAGACTCTTTTCGACGGCGAATTCATTCAGTGAGCTGTACAATCGCATATATACAATTTTGTTTGTGTGTGTGTGTACATTAGATTTATAAAGTTTAGATAATTATGTAATGTAAGTATTATTTGGCTTGGAGACAAACGTTAAGATAGAAAATAAAATAGAATTGATTCAGTGAATTGGATGACGTAATACAATTGAGTAGAATTCAGAGTAGGTCAGGTTGGCAACAGTGTTAATGAGTGGTGGTTAAAATTAAATAAGGGTGGGGTTAGAGAATAATACAGTTGAAAATAAGTAAGTTAATCGGATGACGTAACATAGTTGACTAGAAATTGGACGTGGGTCAAGTTAGCAACATTGTTAATGAGGGTAGAGATTACAAAAGGGTTGGGTAGAGAATAATATAAATGAAGATGTGAAATAATAAAATGTAAAAGACAAAATAATACAATTAGTCTGAAAACCTACTCCCACAGTTCAGTAGTGCATATGCAACAGAACACTATATATGTATATATTTAAACATTCTATATCATGTTGTTTAACGTAAACCAAAATCACACACTCTGTAGTGATTGGTTAAACAACATAAGGCTGTGTAGATAAAAATAGCGGTTTAATGAATGGGAAATATACTTTGGCTTCCGTGTCTCGCCTTCTGCTGTAACATTTGTTGTCACTGCCTGTCAATATAAATGGAAAGCCTATGCCCTGCAGTTTTTCAAGAAAGATACATATATACTTTCTGGCAGGACTGTTGGCAGGCTGTTGAAGAGTTGAATGGCGTTCAAAATGCGTCAGGGAAGAGGCTATTTGCTTGGAACTCTGCTGCTGAGAGGTTGGGCAAAGGCAGTTTATGATAGTACCATGCAAAACACCCGCGAATACGCACTAGCCAGCCAGGGGAAAGCAAACTGCTTCCAAACTGGGAAGTACCACATACGATCCCTGAGAGATGGATGGGGTTAAGTATATACCATCAAAAGTGTGTAAACAGAGAGAAGTGGGTGAACTTCAGCGACCTCCAGAAATGGATACAGCAAGACAAGTTAACAAAGATTTCTTTATCAAAAAGACCGGACCACCTTCACTCTCTAAAGGATTTGATGGCGGGGGGGGGGGGGACGAGTGTGGTAGTGGGATCCAGACAATGTGTTCACATTGAAAATCATTGTATTTACTGGTGTTAAAGTCTGAATACAACTGCTCCCACAGTTCGATATTACATTACCAACAGAATACTATATATGTTTTTATATTTGAACATTCTATTTCGTGTCGTTTAATATAAACCAAAATCACACACTCGCTCAGTGTGATGATTGTTTAAAGAATATATAAACCGTATAGATATAAACAGCGGTTTGATCACTTGCAAATATACACCTTGGCTTCAATGCCCTGCCTTCTGCTGTTACGTTTGGCTGTCTCTGCCATCGACAAATGAAAAGTTCATAACCTGCAGTCTTTGAAGAAGTAAATATATGAATCTTCTTGTAAGACTTCGAGGCTGTTCCTGAAAAATCAATGGCGTTCAAGATACCCAAAAGAGAAAACGCTTTTACTTGGAACACTGCTGAGAGGTCTGACGAAGGCAGCATATGGTAGTGAAAGGCGAAACACTGTCGAATACGCACCAGGGTTATGCGTATTGCTTCTAAAGTGGAGTGGAGCATACACGGTTACCATGAGACGGGATCACGTATATACGATGAGAAATACAAAGAAAGAGGAGAAGGGAGTGAACGTCAGTGAGCTTCGGAACTGGATATACCAAGATAAGCTAACAAGCGACTAGCACTAAGAGGATCGAACCGACTTCAGTCTAGAGTATTCGATGTGGGGCCGGGGTGGGGCGGAAGAATGTGATGGTGTGGTACAGATAAGGTGTTCCAACGGAATGTTATTGTCACAAATACTATTCAAGTAGTTCAATACTGCAATCGAAACAGAATACTATACAATATATGTGTATATTGGAACATTCTATTTCATGTCATTTAATGTTAACCAAAATCACACACTCGCTCAGTGATTTATTAAAGAATATAACACTGAATGGATATATGTAAACAGCGGTTTGACCAGTTGAAAATATATGTGGTGGCTTCCGTGTTTTGCCGTGTTCTGCTGTTATAATTAATTATATGTTTAAAAAACTACTGTTTCAATACTTTGCCAATTTAAACTTTAAGCACCAGTAAGTACCAATAGAGTGTGTGTGTCTTTCACCAATCACCTAGAAACGCTTAGTCAGCTAGTTAGTGAAGTCTGACAAATAAGATTGTATCCGTGAATCACAAATATATTTAATAAATTTTACACTATTAAGTGGGATACATGGCAAGTTTTAGGGTTAGGTTTGGTAACGATTAAGTTAAGACTTAGAGGCTAAGGACAGGTTAGGCTTACTATTATGGTTAGAGGTAATTTTGTGTCACGCGTTGGAGAAATGTATCCTGTGTAACAGATTCATGCCTTTTAATTCTTCATTATGTTCATGAATATGTATATATATATATTTTTATATGCGAAAATCGCTTTTATCATATATAGTAGTTGGTGAATTCCAGGACATTTACCCTACCGTTACTTACTGGGGCTTAAAGTTTAACTTTGTCAACATCTATAACATTGTATCCGGACAAAATCAGTTTACTTTGCAGATAATATGTAGTAATGCCTCAACCTGCTTATAATTTCAACATAGGAAGATACCCTTAGACATGAAAAAACTGAATACTTGATTATTTTTGAGTAAATTAAGTACGACATATATATATATATATATAAATGCATCAGAGACGATTTATTCCTCCTATGTAGAGTTAGAAATGACTCCAACAGTAATGGGTTTTTGTTTGTTAGTTTATGCGTCAGTGACACAGAGGTAGAATGCTCCTCACCTACCACGCAGATGGTCTGAGGTTTAATCTTCGGCAAACTCACTCTTTTACTTTGTTAAGTCAGTAAAAAAGACTAGTAAGGAGAAAGTGTTGGGCATGAGGCTAGCAGCAGCAACCTGATCCCGTAAAAATAAAGACCACTGCTACAGAAACTTCAAGTCTCTAGCTTGAAGCCGCCCTATGTGTTCCACTGGGAACTTAAAGGAATAAAAAAAACACTTTAGTTTGCATGTAAGCTGAAATGATAGATGTCGAAAATGCATTAAACCTATGCAGCAAAACGGCGAAAACTCTAAAATAGGTAACTAGATTACAACCTGCATGTCGCATATGCCAGTTTACGCCGTCTCTGGCTTAGTAGACGTGATATCCAGCTGGCAGGCTGGATTTCGATCAAAGGGCGTGTGTACTACTACTTAGTAGTCCTCTCCATCCCCCTTTATGGCTGGTTCTGAGACATGGCCATTTAAAGTGGAAGACATAGGAAGGCTAGCTGTCTCTGATCATAGGTGCCCGGGATCTATCTCCCGTATTAAGTGGTGTAATAGTATGAGCAATATTGAGGTTAGGCTTCGGTCGAGCACCAGGTTAGTAGTGGAAATCAATAGACGAGGCTGTGAAGTCATATAGACTGAGGTGGTTAAGAAGTGTGTTACGTATGGCTAGCTACCGCGTTCCTTGATAATGGGCAGTGTTGGCTAACTGGGATAGGATGGATTATACCGAGAAAGAGCCCGTGATGGTCAAATCGAAAAATGGCTTAATCAGTCAATGAGATCCACAACCATTAGTTTAAGCCAGCCAACCAGCCACGTAGGGAAGTGTCTGTCTGTCTGTCTGTTTTCGACATAGAACCAGTTTGCACAAATGTGCGCCAGTTCAAGTCGCCACACTCCCTCCATGTACCATACAAACCAACAGAAGAAAGTACAAGAAAAGCATAATAGAGACAGGAAACAGAGGTGTTAGACAAAGGAATAGTAGTAACGAAGAACAAAACAGTTTCATTGGAAATCATAAGTCACAAGGAGTGGATGCATCTGCGTCAGCCAGCCATTGAGAACGATTTTGAGCCATGTCACCAATTGTTTCCAACCATCGGTTTTTACCGTCCCGAGGACCCCAACCAGGAAGCCAGTCTACACCTTCCTACGTGGCTTAGATTAACCGTTGTGGATTTCATTGACTGGTGCCATGTTTTGGTTTGACCACCGCTAGCTCTTTTCCAACCTGACGCTATATCAGCTAACATTGCCCACTAGTCGAGGAAGGCGATGACTAGGCACGCATGCGTAACACATGTCCTAACCATCTCAGTCTTTGTAACTTCACGACCTCGTCGATTGGTTTCCCCTGTTTACCTAGAACTCGACAGATGCCTAACCTCAATATTGCTCACCTTATTATGCCACTTCACACGGGAAATAGAACGCAGGCACCTATGATCAAAGACAGCTAGCTAATCTTTTCATGTCTTCCACTCTCAGTGGCTAGGTCTCACAGCTGGCCATGAAGGAGGACAGAGTGGACTGACGAGCAGTACACCCGCCCTTTGGTAGACACTCGGATATCTCGTCTACGCCAGAGATGGGGTAAACTGGCAAATGCGAAGCGAGCCCCCTGTATCCGTACGCAGCTGAGATTTCGTCAGAGATCAACCCCTTAGGGCTGATGGTACTCGTAGGGAAGTGTAGACTGCCTGAATGACTGGTTGGGGTCCTTATGATGGTGGTGAGAACCAATGGAGTCTGGAGACACTTGGTGATATGGTCGGCTGAAAATCGTTCTCGATGATGGCTGACGCAAATGCATCCACTCCTTGTGACTTATTATATCCAATAAAACTATATTGTTCCTCCAAATTACTATTCCTTTTTTCCTCATATCTCTGTTATGAATCTCCTTTTACTTTCTCTTACTTTGTGTGTACTTATTGAAGTGTGGCCACCCTAAATGCTGCTAGCCATCGGTGAAAAGTTCTATGTTGAAACCAGTCAGTCAGTCAGTCAGTGCAGCCACAGAAATTCAAGAATATAATTCAGTGTTATACAGACCTATGAATCATCGATTCTAGTAACGATTTGATAAAAGTTGAAGTATTATGACAGCACTTCAATAATACATATTTTCACCTTTAATCCATACATCCACAAGGACTAATAAAGGTGAATGACATTATGTTTTTATTAGAGCGAAGTTAAAGTATCATAGGCAAAGTTAAAAGATCTTTCAAAGTTGACCTTCAAGGATCGATCAGACATGAGGAATGCTGTGAAATGTTATTCAAAATCAAATCATGCCTAATTTTCGCGACTTGGATAGGATAGGTAGAGTAGTATTCTAAATATAATTTACTAGGTACTTTTTCTGCAAATCTATTCTGTTAGGTAGGGTTGTGCTGTTTAAGTTTGCAGTTTAGGATTTAGGGTTATGGTAAAGTTAGGGTTAGGATTATGGTTAGAGTTAGGAGTAGGTTGAGAAATAGTTTCAGAAATCCCAAAGGATCTCAAAGTACCACGACTTGCAGTCACCTAAATGAATGGATATATTGCTCATGGTACAATTTCTCTATAAATCATCTCTGTGTATTGACTGGAAGACATTCTTACAACACATAAGCTACAACTGTACAGTGTAATATCATGTGAGCAATATTTTTGGCGTATTTTTCAAAGGTTATACATTCTGATTGGTTGTTCAGGGTCACTGTGGCGGCTTTGGCTATGGTAGTTTAACTTTGCCCTTATCAGAATTCAAAAGTTAGTCAGTATGAAGATCTGAGCAAGTTACTGAGCTTGTCAGCATGCCTCATGTGAAACTTAGAGATAATCTGTCCTCCATTCGGTTGAAGTCTGTTCTGCACAATACAGGCTGTTATGCGATAAAACATACATGAAGTCGAGATATACGCCAAAGACTTTGATTCTGTAGTTATTGTTGCTCATGCTTCTTTCTTATCAGGATTTATCGTACTATAGAGACAAGCACAGTGGAGTCTTAAGTTGTATAATCGTTGAAAAATGCACTAAAAAATGTGTGAGCGTGATCTTAAATTGTAGATTTGTAGCTTATGTGTTGTGAGAATATCTCTTAGTCACCACACAGATTATCTACGGGGAAATCGTACCAGTGAAACTAGATCACACTGTCGCACCATGGCTACATGCAGTTTCACAGCCTTATGGGAAATTTGCAGAGTATTTACTAGAATCACCACAGATATGTTCACCTCCTGGAAGACTGTATCCAGGCAGACAACCACTTCTTGTCTCAGATCCTACAAAGGGTTCAAAGGAAGGCGACATCTATGACTGTTGGCATGACTAATTGATCATACGAGGAAAGACTAGACAGTTTAAATCTCTTCTCCCTATCACACTGTAGGCGGAGAAAAAATAATGACTACAGGCCTGATCAATTCTCTGTTTTCCTTCCCACCACCTGGTGGGAACACCTTAGAGGGGATAGCGGGAGAGTTCAGAAGCCAAGAAGAAACCATATTGCTGTGGGGTACTGGTTCACAATTCGAGTCATTAATTCCTGGAACCAACTGACTCCTAGAAGTAGTGGCGTCCGCAACCTATACCGATTCATTCAAGAAGGATTTGGACAAGCACATGAATTTACTAGAAAAGAATTAACATAGGCACCAAGCCTTCTATCCTCAACTAATAAATCTGAATATGAATCTTAAATCCTACCACGAGAGATATATCCATCGATCCAGGTGGCTGTATGTAGGTCATGGTACTTTGAGATCCTTTGGGATTTCTGACACTATTCTTCAACCTACTCCTAGCTCTAACAATAATCCTAACCCTAACTTTAACCTAATGTCTAACCTTAACCTTAGATCTTAAACCATAAACTTAAACGCCATAACCCCGCCTAACAGTATTAATTTATAGAAAAAAGTACCTTGTAAATGAGTAGAACACTGTGTCTATCCTGTATAAGTCCGAACAGGCAGGCATTATTTGATCCGAAATGACATTTCATAGTGTTCCAAATACCTAATCGCTTCTTGAAGGTCAACTTTTGAAGGACCTTTTCACTTTGCCCTTGATACTTTAACTTCGTCAGAATACAATCATAAAAACTTCTCTGAATTGTCTGTCAGCAAAAAAAGAGATCACTTCATGCAACTGATAATGATGACAGAGAAAAAATCTTACCTGATACAACGAAAAAATCGAAAGTAGGAAATCTTTTCTTGATGACAACATTCAGACGTGCACAAGCAATGATAAGAGTGGCTAGAACATAACGCATACACGTACGACGTATAAGGCGTATACGATCAGTAGTACCCGGTAAATGCGTGACCAAAGTTACAGCGAACCTCACTACCCATGGTATAGTGGTGAAATAATTCCAAAAACGTTTAAATACTAAAGACACATAGAAACCAAGAATGAATGCCACTGGTATCATAGCTTGTGATTTGCTTGTGAATAAAATCAAGCGTTCAAAACCTCTAAAAAAATTCATGTCGTTATGTAGCTTGAGGATAATTAACAAACCTCTGGGTGCTTTCAGAAAAAACATAACGATACATAAAACTGATCGCTATATAAAGGATAGCAAAAACAATAAGGTCAAAAGAAATTAACTTCATGACACCGCCTCTCCATCTAAAATTAAAAATTACTGTATTAGCGGGAAATAGCAGTTTACTTTAATAAAAGCCTAAAAAACACTCCGTAGCCACCAGTTAGGACAAAGTGACTGTATTGAACAGTCATTTTGTTATTTTGTCTGCAGGCAAATGATGAAACTACGTTAAACGATGTTGATCATATAAGTGAAGTTAAAAAGCAGCAAAAAATCCCACGGAATGATATATCAACCAGTGAAGTTTACAAGATCTCTAACAGTGCGCCACTGAAATCGAAACAAATAAAAGCTGGCAAGGTCGGTGAAAGCAGCAAATAAAAAAAGTAAAGCTTGTTCAATAGAAGAGGTTTTCAATGCACTACTGTACAGTGACTTTCGGGGTGAGAAATACGTCAGATATTTCTTCAACTTAAGTTACTTAAAACCGAAAGCTCTGCTGAGTCATTAAAAAATATATTATTATTATTAAATATAATATAATAATATTAAGTATAAATATTCGACAGTTCCATATTTGGCACGAGTATTGTGTGAAGAGACAAATATTAGAAAAGAACTTTTGCAACTTTTGAATCAATAACTAAACTATAAAATGTAATGAAGCATATTATTATGCATGTGTTATTCGTTATATTATTTATATACTATTCACTATGACCTAGAATGGTGTGATTTTGTTGGGTTTTTTTTATTTTTTTGTCTTTTCCTATTAACTATGAATATTTTAAAATTTTATACATTTATATAATTATAAACAGAGCTAAACCATTGCAATATGTAAAAGAAACGCTTAAAATTCCATGCTGTAAATTTTTATTGTTGTGGAATAAAGTGATTATTAATATTATTATTATATCAATAGTCCTTCACGGCCTTCTGTACTTCAGATTCAGGTTGAGATTCAGATTATTAGAATAGAAAGCTCCTGGTGCCTTTGTTAATCCTTGTGATATATATCTCTGCAGAGATCTAAATTCTGTTTGAAAGTATACACCAATGGAGCTGTTACTAGCGAACCAGGTGAGGGATTCCAGTTGGTGACCACTTCGTTGACAGGATCTTTATTCCACATGTGTTTTATTCAACCTCGGTTTAAGCACCCTTTTGTGGAGATCTCGATAATGTAGAGAAGGAGGGAGAAGATTGGGAACGTCAATCCCTGAATCATGCTCAGGTACAGGGTAGGCCGAAATTAAGTCGCCTCTCTTCCTTCGATATGATAACTGGAGCAGATTTAAATGGCTTATCGTCTTGTCATAAGGAAGATGTTATATACCACTAGCTGATTTGGTTACTACCCTCTACACTCCTCTCAGGGTATGTGCCTCCTTCTCGAAGCATGGGCCCACTGCTTGTATGGAGTGTTCTAGTTGAGAAATGTTGCGCTGAGTAATTGGAACATAGATTCGTCCGGTCGTTTGAGAGCCCTTGGTAGTGCCATCGCATTCTACAAGCCTAGGCTACGACTTTATTTAAATTTGCCGTTTTTTTAGGCTATGGCCTAGAGTCCGTTTGTCCGTTAGTATCTGGCAGTTCCACGTACACCAGGGAGCGAAACGTGTAGGACCTGTAACCCAGGTACATTACCTCGCTCTTCTTGGAATTGATTTCCACAATTCAGGTTAGCCCACTCAGCTAATCTACCTAGATGGTTTTGTAATGCCAACTTATCATTATTTACAGTTTTCTATATCCTAATATCGTCCGGAAATAATACAGAAGATGAGGTAATAATTTTCGGTATTTCATCAACGTATAATAGGAATAGCAGGGGGCCAACTACATTTCTCTGAGGTACTCCACTCGCTACTGCTTTCCCCCTTCCCCCGACAGTATGCATATGACCCTCGTCTTCTGCCTTCTATCCATCAGGCAGTCGCTAAACCACTCACGCAGACGTTGGTTTAATCAAAGGACTTTTGGTTTACTAAGGAGACCCCAATGGGATATTTTATCGAATGATTTAGTAAGACCGATCTAGGCTTTAGCGTTTCTTTCGATTAGTGCGCTACATTTGCTTAGTTACATAAATCTTTCATTTCGCTGGTGTTTCTGGTCAGCAAGTTGTAGAATCTATTGCAATTCGTTTAACCCCAAACACTGAATCTGCGGATATAATCTTGTTGGCTGTTAATACCTATAACTAACTGTTTGGCATTCTGTGACTGTTTAACATCGACTAATACCTATAATTGTATATATTCCAATATCCAATATAGTTTTTACGAGCTAGTATAAACCAATTTGATTTCTTTGTGCTCGCTTCTTGATTGTAAGGTGTAGGTTCCTGATCTTCGGTGAACTTTTGCGTAGCTTGTCCCGCCACTCGACTGTCGTAGCTTTGGTTGACTCCAGGAGGAGTAGTGCTGGGATTAATTGTATGTGGTTTGTAGTATGAGGTGTGTTCGATTTACATGCTCATGTTGAACCAAGTCAGTGAGTATGTGGTTTTGGTGTCATTTTTGCCAACTGCGGTACGTTGGCGGTACGTTCGAAATTGGTGACATTTTTGCACGTGTTTGCTCTGAAATTTATTTACTGCTTATTGTCATATAATTCTTGAAATTATGGTCCAAATCTCTAAAAAACGTGTTCGTAGAAACACAATTGTTTTAGATAGTGGCTTAAATTCGGTTATAACTGCATTACCGCCTGGTAATACAGTATCAACTACTAGCTCTCAAAATGGTTTGAGTGCAGATCTCACTCCTGTGATACAGGTGAAAGATGTTCTGTTAGAGAACTCTGAGTTCTGTAAACTAAACCTCCTTTTGAAAGATATGCAGAGGCAAGTAAGTGAAATTCAGAAAAAATTAGATCAGTTTGATAGTATGTCACTGCCAATCTCAAATACCACGGAGAGCCGTTCTGATATTGGCCAGGTTAAGTGTTTACTGGATGTAACTCAAAATAAGCTTTTGAATTTAGACCCAATAGCCTGTCTTTTAGAAAGGCATCCTAAAATATCTCCAGACAACCTAAATAAAGCTGAAAATCTGATTGACTGCTTGGCTACGGAGGTGATGAAGCGTATAACCTCTTCTCACCAAGCTATAGTTTACAACGTCCCAGATTCTCTGCCCCTGAAAACTGTAAGACACAAAATCCTGATTTGTTGCGGCATGGCTAGTGTTCCATGTGAATGCAAACGACTTCGTAAAAAGTCTAACCAGGCTAATTGCCCAATCATTTTTAAATTCAGTAATTCCCTTGATGCTAGTAAGTTTACTAAATGTCAGGATCACTTAAGACTGAATAGCAGTTATAAGTCTATAACCGTAGCTCAGGATAAAACACCGTGTCAGCGCAGAATAATGCGTAGTAATAACCTGGTCACCTCCTCTAGCTTTGATTTACCAAATAAGGATCGTGCACAGCAACAGACACCTAGTGCTGAAACTAGCATTCAGCAAACTACACAACAACCACACCTGCCAATGGAACTAGGAACTGATTTAGATACCAGTACCCCTGTAAATAAAGCCTCATCGAAAGATGTTAAAATGACTAGAACTTCTGCAAGTTGTTCTAAGAAATTTCCCCCCAAACGTAGTAACCTCACCACGATGAACAAATTTCGCAGGGTTGAGACTAATGATGGGGAAGAATACTTTGTATTCAATAAGCCTGCTGAGAGTAAGAATGCCAACAAACCATCACTTGTTACGAAAAACTCCTCTCGAAACATAAGTATTCTGGAGGTGTTCCGCATGCTCCACCTTATAGAAAGTCAGGCTCCAAGACTCCTAAAGTCTTGCAGCCAAAGCACCTTCCTTCACAATTCCCTTTAAGTTATAAAAACAACCCGAAGGTGTATACCGGTATGACGAATAGCAGTTGGATGGGTAGACCTTTGATGCTATGCCTTTTAACCGTCAACCTAGGCCCAACCTGTACTACCCTTATATCCAGGAACACATGGTAAATTTTCCAGGTGTCCCGAATCACTGGTACGACCCATGGCACCTAGGACCACCTCATTGCACACCAACCCGATGTACAGACACCCAGTCCGACCTCCTTTTCATTCATAAATTCTTGCGGTGCTGACGCACAAATAGATTTAGGTTATGGTGACATTTTAAGCCAGTTTGTAGTATCCCGTGACTTATTCACGATATTGCTAATTAATGCACGTTCCTTAATCAATAAGATATCTGAACTAAGGACATTATTATTAGTCGCCAAGCCTACTGTAGCTCTGATTACTGAGTCATGGTGCTCATCCTCTGTACTTGATGTGCATATAGGTATCGATGATTACACTGTACACCGTGCAAACAGAGATTGCAAGCGTGGTGGAGGATGTCTCATATATATACATAACTCATTTGTAGTCAGTAAGGTGGAAGATGAAACAATGAATAATGTACCTGACTCACTCTGGGTTGTCTTACATGGAGATAAGTACAAACTTCTCATAGGCTGTGTTTATCGAGCACCAAGCTCAACAAAAGAAACTGATGCGTTATTAGCTAAATCGTTTGCACACGCATCCTCGTTTAGTGCTAATTACAAAATAATTGCAGGGGACTTCAATCTTCCAGAAGTCAATTGGCTAACTAGTTCCGGCCCCCAACGCTTCGACGAATTACTTGCCACTATAGACTGTTATGGATGGCAACAACACGTCCAGACACCTACTCGTGGTGACAACATGTTGGACCTTGTTTTTTGTCATGACACAATCCCAGTATCCACTATGTTGGTAATAGATTTTCCAGTAGTGACCATAGAATGGTACTCTGCTCTCTGCCTTTCTCACCACTAAATACAGGAAACAAACAAGACTCAGGAAGCACAATATGTCGTAGTTACAAATATACAGACTGGGGATTAGTCCAAGAACTTATTCGACTCTGTCAATGGGATGACTATTTTACCACTGACTCCCTGGAGGCCTTAGTAACCCTGTTTTACAGGAATGTTACCCTTTGTCTAGATACAGTTGCTCCAAAGAAAATAGTGAAATTAAGTAGACACCGAACTGAATATATTCCAAGGGCACACCGTAATAAGTTAAGGAAGCTGAAGAAACAGTACTATTCCACTAAGGACATATCACTATTGCTCTCAATCCACGAGTCTCTTGAATCTATCAAGCGCCTACGCTCTCAAAAGGACCTCGACGAAGAGTTAACGGCACTTGAAAGTACCTCCAAAGTTTATAACTTAACGGCACTTCTTAAAAAACGAATGCAGTCGACGAGGGAAATCCCATACTTACTTCACGACAAAGTAATCTACAATGAACCTGCCACTATCTGTGAACTCTTCAGTGATTGGTTTGCAAACTTTAGTTTAGAAACACATATGCCTGGTGAAACC